GCTGACTTATCTTTCCTTTTCTGTGAGTGACTTTGTAAGTTGCAAGAAATTTCTCTAGAAAACGGTACTTTGTGTTGGACAGAAAACCTGGTGCCTGCCTACTTGGTTCTTTTTAGTGAAAGAATTGAGTTGTTGGTGAGACTAACAGATACGTAGTCTGAAAGATGGTTGATTAGTTTACTGTCAGGCCCAGATTCCATTTGTGAGGTTGTCTGAGGTTAGAGGTTGGTCAGTCAGCTACATAGCTTACCAATCCTCTGAGAATCATAGTGTGAATTTCGCTAAGTACTACCTATCCCGTTCATAAAGTTGAGTTATGATGGTATTTCATATTATCAATCAATACTCTGTTTCCATTAGGTGAGAATCACCAAATGTTTATCAAGAAACATGCTTCACCAAATAAAGAGTGCATAAGTGCACTCCACCAATGACCTTGGACGTGACGAATAATTTCAGCCTGAGAAACAATACAATTCGGTTCAATATTCGATTGTAATTTGGACACTAGATTTGGAGGGGAACTGACTTTCAAGGTTGTTTGTAGGTTCATGCAACTACATTTTCTTTGCTTCCTGTGTTTTCTGTTATTTTTCGCAACTTTATGTTGACTTTGTGGGAACTAAAGGTTCATTATGAAATAAAACCTTGAATAGGTCACACAGGATACACTATTTATCAGTGAACTGTCGGTGATGCAAAATTGTGATTTCTGCAGACTATATACATGATTATATGCATGCAGGTATATACTTAGATACATGATTAAATGTGGTGATCAATTCATTGCTCCTTAGTATTCATGTGTATTTCAGTAGCTAGATTGTCTAAAATCGAGTAATTTTTCATAGTATGTTGTCTGTATACAGACTATATATATACGACTACTGTATACGACTATAGTCGGCAACGAAGCACTAATTTATGATGAAATCTGATCATGTAGAATCCTTAGGCGACAAATACGTCCAGCAGTGTGCAAAGTAATCATGCGACATAGAATTTAAAAAATGGTCGGCGGGAAATATATCAGTAGCTTCTTATTAAAGTTCATGAAAGTGCCGAAAGCCATTCGGACGACATAGCCTTTCAGTGTCACTTTGGAATGCTTCCCTATCAATTATGGATAATGTGCAAGGGCAGGATATTCAAGAAATGAACTATTGTGTCCTCTAATTTCTGATTACAGTATTGGAAGATGCGTTTGTGCATTTTTGGGGAGTATCCCGTCACCACGCCCAACTGATGTATGCGCATAGTTACTGTGCCTTGTTCTTGGACATTATTCTACAGCAATGATGTCTACATGACTCAAAGATCTATACAGACTAGAACGGATGCCATGTCATGAAAGCTGTTACGACTCTGGTGTAAATCTGAGTTGTGAGAGCAAACGCGTACCACCGGTGGCTAGGAACGTAAGAAGGGTAAGACGCCCCCTCAGGTGTACTGCCTTCTAGCTCCCGGTAGACGTTAGAAAACGTCAGCACCCAAAAGTCGTACAACCCTAATTACCCTGCTTTTAGCTCGAAATCTGTGCAAACGAATATCCACAAAATGCATCTTCAGATGTGTTGCATGTAGCCGGTCTCCAGAAGTTATTATCTGAGGCCTGAAGTCACGCAAAACAAATACATTTTTCTCTCTATGAACCACCAGAAAGCACAAAAACCTAGCTACTTCAATAAGTAACAAAAGTTTTGTTTGTCACTTGAGCAATTCATCTTTATTTCCTGTCGCAATTAAAACCATTCCATATGCAGTTTGATCATTGATTCTTAACACTCGAAAAAGTGCTAGTGTCTCAACTCAGAACAGTATTTCTAGCTTCTTTAACTATACTGCCAACTTCATAATGTAGTGTCTCAACGTCTGGGCCCTACAGTACGTCGAAGAAGGATCCATTAACCCTAACTGTGGTATCTCAAACTCCTTATATACATGTTTTGTACCTCAAACACGCGGTATCCTAGCGTAGTTATCCACTTAAATCAACCTGAGCTATGTTGTGACTACCAAATTTGCCCTGTGTGTCAGTTATTCCGCTAGCTATTGTGAATTTACTGATGTATACGCAGTATTGAGCTCTGTAGTAGAAAAACTTACTGCTCCACTGGATTTCAGTAGACTCATGTAGATTGGTAAGAGCAGGGAAGAAGCATGATTTTTGCCAACCGTTCAGGTTGTCCTGTGAACTTTCAACTATGCTCAAATAACGATGCATGAAATGCATATTAATTATATATGTGAAGCCAACCGACTGATAGCTGCTACGCCGACGTGGTGGTCGGGTTTACATATCGCAATGGCCCAACAAGTTACACCGGCTGGAAGTGATGTTCCTGTAGGTCCTACCATGCCAGGAAGATTGTTAGGATAGCGGTTGGACTAAAAGCAATTACTGTCATAGTGTAGGACTTTTTTTACACTATGCTGGGCATCTGTGGGCGAAGTCGTACTGCTGAGGAATAGGGATGTCACAGAAGTAAGGTATTTCCCTAAGATGGTCAGCTATGCTGTCTCTCCACTCTGAAGAGTGGGGGTTAAAAATGGTCGAGCCCAAGAATTATACATTCCGATTTACCCCACGGTGGTCCGCAGATGGTGGTAAAATATTATTACAGAACCAAAACGAAAAGACAGTTCAGACAGGCCGTGTGTGGCCGTCTTCAAGCAGTTTTCCTCTGTGGTCACGCAACCCTCATTCCATTTCTGTTTCAGTTTTCCGCGAAAAAATCAATTTCCTTAGTGTGGGCAACCGGTAGGTAACAACCGCCCACACACTTTCAAAAGCACATGGAGCTCTCGTGATCATTATTTTCCTTTATCCCTGTTACCCTCATCATCTGGCTTCCCAGCTACTGTCAGTACTATTCTGTGACCACGAATAACGATGAGAGCCATAAAAAACATCCCCGATAGCCTATAAAGCCACACCGCCAACCTCATATTGGAGCATTTAACGTCAGGACCTGCTACCGAATAGGACAACAGGTATCACTAGCCAGAACTCTGACATCTTGAGTCATGGACGAATGTTGTGTTTCGCAGACGTGCATACAAAACCCGAGTGTGGTTATTCACTTGACCTCACCCAGCCAACAAGATGAGTCTGCAAAATTCACTTTAAGGCTGTCAGGAGACCTCTCAGCTAGTTCGAGAGGACTCGTAAGTGTAGGGATAGCATTGAGTGTTAGGGCAGAAAAACCACTTCTTGAGTGGATCCCAGTAGATAGTCGCATGTGTGCGGTTCGTCTGAACGGGCCAGTTAGAAGGGAGGACGGCGTTACCTACAGAGTTCCCTCCCGACTAACTGACACTGGTAATCAGCTTCAACAATTCTGCTCAGATAATCATCTTTTCTTAGTCAGCACAAACTTTAAGCACAAAGAGAGACATTACCTAACCTGGTAACCCCCATCAGCAAATCAACGCTAAACTCAGATAGACCACATAGCGATAGGGTATCGTTGGTGAGGGTCAGTAGAAAACTACAACCTCATCCGAACTTATTGGTGCAAGAACTGATTCCGGCGAGCTCCGAATATGAAGAGGAGCGAAAGCTGCTCAAATGCAAACTAACAAGAAGTCTTCACAACAACATGAACAGTGGAGGGCGACAAAAGCGGAAGAGATGAAAAAGGCGAAAGGTAACACCATACAACTATTTTGACTTATCATGGAAACAGGTAGCAAAAGGCAAATGATAATCGAAACAATCTCCGAGAGAAATGACACAAAAACCAGTCCTCAGGATAGACGACTGGAACCTTGGAAAGAACACTTTGAGAAGCAATTTAACTGGCTTACAGCCACGCTCAACTTATCCAGCATCTAACGCCTCCCTGAGTGGGATATAAACACAGGTCCTGCATCACTGAGGTTATAAGAGCTGTCACTAGTCTGAAACGAAGCAAAGCAGCGAGACCTGATGGAATGATTCCAGACAGTTTACTGTCTGCGCTAGCTAAGGTACTAAACAGCGTCTGGAAACCAAAGATAGTCCCGTCAGGCTGGTGTAAGTCATTAATTATCCTGAGACAAGTCTTCCTGTGATAATCACGTGAATATTAACAATATGGTACCTAAAGTTCTAGGCTCAATAATCACGCGTAGACTAAGCAATGCTCGAGAGGAACAAATACGAGAAAACCAGACAGAGGGTGTATCGATCATATCTTCACCCTTCGACAGATTCTGGAACAATCGTCATGACATGACAATCGTCTTGACATGAAAATAGCAGTCCGCCGAGAGGCGATGTTTGGCTGCGAATAGAATACCACACTAAGAACAGAATATCACACTAAGGCACTGTACTCGAACTGATGCAGCACACGGAGAGTTGTCATCTGAATTAGTGTCCGTCAGGGAGTGCTGACATCAGCTAGCAGGGTCGCATTCTATTACCCAGGAATTTGGCACATAGTCCACACAACTGGTTCCGCCCTTTTGATACGGACAGAAATCACAAAAACCGCTGTTTTGGTCGACCGCACACATTTGTTCAATGCCACTTTCCCCTGTTTATGTGCTGAAAAAAGCTATGGTATTCTTGAATTTTGATTAGCATAAATACGTTTGCTTGTCGTTAGTAAAAACAGTCTTTTAAGAAATGGATATTCAGTTTCTAAATCACCACTCTTGCTGATCATTTATATCAGACACCGCCAATGTAACCTACGATGAACTAATATTTTTATATCTCACCAAAATGATTGCAAGTCAATTACTTTGAATTAGTCATTTTGGCAATCATAGTCACTATGTTTTCTAACGGCACTACACATTAAGGGCAAAATTGAAGTTGAAGTACCCACTAGCGTTTGAACCAAAAGTCAAAGTTTCTTGAAGTATGATCGGAAGCTCATAGTTATTGAATATTTTTACAGATGAAACAAAAGCTGTTACAATCAGGAAACTAAGACATTTAAACTCAATTGATGCGACTAATCTTATTTTTTAGATACTTTGTTTCAATCTAATAACCTGCTGAAAAAATGGCCCACAAACAAACACCAAGAGATTTCCTGAAACTTATAATTGGAAGACCAGTAGTGGTCAAACTAAACTCGGGTGCCGATTATAGAGGTACGTGCATATTTAGCGAGCTGCTATTTGTAGGTGTTCTTATTTCCCTAGATGGCTATATGAATGTCGTACTTGAGCAGACAGAAGAGTATGTTGAGGGGCAATTGAAGAACAAATATGGTGACGCGTTCATTAGAGGAAACAATGGTAAGCCCATTTGTCACCCTTATGCCTTTCAGTATTTTATATCAGCACACAGAAGCGTTGGTAACCAGTATGCAACCTGTACAGAATACCTTTCTGTCTCTTAAGACACTTTTGTAAATGTCGAAATAAATTATCTTTTCTTGTATACCTACTTTTTCTCATAACCACATAATAAGGAACACTTAGTGAAGAGTTTATTAAATAATAATAATAATAGTTATCTTTATCATAAAAAACATGAACACATAAGAGCTTCTCAGTGAAACCACTCCGAATCACTCTACATAATTCGGGTGCACGACGATATAAGGATCTGTTGTATCAGAAGAGGCGTCTAGTCCTGTGCCGCCAATAGCTATCAAAATATTATCCTGGAAAAAAGAAATAATTGGACAAATATAAATGTTGAGCTACAGTTATAATAGATGTATCTAACGTAGCCAAAAAACTTCACAGATGAAGAGAAGACAAGTTGTTCTTAACACGTGTGTCACATAAGATAAAATTATACTAGTATACAAGTATAAAATAGGATAAGGGCAAATTGAGAACACTGCTCCTGCAAAAGAAATGGAACAAGAGATACACATGGCTAGAGGTCAGGGGAATAATGATTGTTATAGGCTAAGATGGACACTAAAGTAAGTGACTTATCCTACACTTGGAAATTTCGTTATCTTGCTCTTGCTTGTTTGGATGTGCACTTTGGAATCGCAGAGGTTGGTGGCACTGGAAAGCGTGAAGATGCAGTTGCTTATAAATGCATCTTACATCTGGATCCGTGATGAAATATGCTTAATATCATTAAAACCGATAATAAGTTTGAGACGTTAACCAACAGGAATGCACTATATCATTGCGCAATAATTCTAGAAAAGTAGTTTCACATTAACTATGGTAACTGAGTCAAAATTCTACTTAAGAAACATATCGGTACATTAAATCTAAAGGCTTACTTTTTTTATTAGACGGTCGATTATGCGTTCTACTAGAAGTTTACATTCCGTTAACTGTGCTTCTGTTTCAATTTCATCAACCACTTCTTCCAAATACCAGTTTACCAATTCACTCTTTTTCGGGGCACCTGCTGTCTGATCGGATGCAGCTTCGGACGCCAAGGACTCACTCCAATTTCGTGCCTTTAGAATTAATAGACTAGCGATGCGTCTATATTCATCATATGTTACTCGCAAATGGCCTGCTGCTGCTGTGTCCGCATCTGCTGTTTGCTAAATTCAAAGGATCAAAAAGTTAAGTAAGAATTAGGAGCGGAAGAAGTGAAGTGAATTCAAGCATTACAATTGTAAAATGTAATCTACCTGTTCTGTAAGCGGTGTTTCAGAAGCATCTGGTTGATGGGGTTGTTCATCTTCTTCTAAATTAATATCAGGTTGCTCAACGCGTATTATAGATTTGTTTAATAAGGCGAACGCCTCACGAACATGATTTTGTGTCACCTAAGAGAGAAAGTGTGGTCGGTGAAGAAATACGTCGAAATTTCATTATACTAAAGCTATGTATGAGGAAAACAATTTTAAAAACACCAAAGATATCCGATGTAGTAGAACGACTAACGTCAATAATAGTCACGAATCATTCCTGACAATGATGTTCTTATCATATTACATGTGACGATTATATAATAAAAACCAATAAAACCGTACCTCACACGTATATGAAAGCTTTAAGATGCAGAAAAACCACGTTCAAATCCACGCTGCGGTATATTAGGTAGCTTGCAGATGATAAACCGTAATGTCAACACTAAGAGAGGTTCTATTACTACCTTAGTCTTCTCGATTGATACCGATATACATTATACTTTATGTATCACACCAAAGTGGGACCATATTTATTATTATTATTATTCCCCTTGGTTCCGAGTGGAACATAGGGCTTCAAAAACATCTCCACTTTGACCTATTTGCAGCTATCCTCTTCAACTGGGTCCACGATCACCCATAATTGCTCATCTCCTCTATGTCACCCTCGCGCCAACAACCCATTTGGAATCCACTCGAGTGATGGCCTGGCGCGCCACTTCATTCGACAGCCTTCTCGATGTACACTTGATCCGTCTCCATTTTCTCATATATATTTGTTGGGCAATCGGTTCTTTGTTGGTTTGCTGCCAGTTTCTTGTTAGTTATTCTTTCTGATCATTTTATTTTCAGTATGGAGCGAAAGTAGCTGTTGACAAAAGTCTGTGACTTGTTGGAAATCGTTTGCGTGACACGCAGTGCAAGTTTCTGACCCGCATAGAAGAACCGACTTGACACTGGTGTTAAAAATTCGAATCTTGTTCCCTATGCTGGCTGAGTGCAGTGCAGAAGACTTCCAAACTGGTTTCAGGTTGACGAAGGCGTATCTTGCCTTTCCGATTCTGGCTGGCTTTAACATCTTCATGTCTTCCACTTGTGGTTGAAACAATACCTATTGCCGAAATAAGTGAAGGAAGTAACCTCTTTCAAATCTCTCATTGACAGTGATTGGTGCTGGTTTTTGTTGCTGTTGGTTTGTTATCTTCATTACCTCCTTCTTCTCTAATGTTCACCTGAAGTCCTGCCTTCGCTCGTTTTCGCCTGCAAGTCCTCGAGTTTGTCGGACACTAAACACAAATCATCGAAAAAGTTCAGATCTTCTAGAATCTTCTTATCAGCCCAGCGTATTCCTGTCTTCACACTCCCTGTGCACAGTCTGGTACAAAATCCAGTCTACCACAATTAAGGAAACAGGTATAAAATGGACCCACACAAAAAACTTGGAGGATCTGGACTTCGCCGATGACATATGTCTGATTTCACACAAACTGGAAGATATGCAAGTGAAAACCGACAAGTTGGCAGAAGAAGCATCCAGAGAAACAGGACTTCAGGTGAACATAGAGAAAACAGAGGTGATGAAAATTCCTGGCCAACAGCAGGAACAACAGAAAACAATTAGCATAAATGGGAGAAATCCGAAAGAAGCAACCTCCCTTACCTACCTACCTGGGAAGCATCTTTTCAACTACGGGCGGAACTGACGTCTCTTTATATTCTACTGATAAAACTTACCAGTAGCACCCGCCACACTGACACATGGCATTGTCATATAGCTGTTGAATGATGTTAACAAAGACTTGGGCACCGTACGATGAAGTGCAGAAGTAGTTTCCAAATTACTTCTCGGTCAGTGCTGTCGAAGGCCTTTTCGAAGTCGATGAAGTTGAGATAGAGGTTTGACTGCCATTCTATGCTTTGTTCGATGGCGATGCATAGAGTCCCAATTTGATCAGCACATGATTTTCCTTTTCCTGTCTTCTTTCGATGATAGCAAGAATAAGGATGGGGTAATGCGACCACACTAACTACCATAATCTCTAAATATTTACCACTGTCGCTGTGGACAAGCAGTTCTTACGTTTATTTCTTTTATAATCATCCAAAACTTACTAATAAAAGGTAACTTATAAAATCGAAAAAGGTGAACGGATCGAGGTAAAAAAAAACCAAAATACTCACAGTATCTGCACAGTGGAGTCTTGCGGTAGCCTCTGAAAGACGGATAAGGCTTTCCAATTGCCTGACGGTAATACGCCAGGCAGACTTTGTCCCGCTAGAGGCGTCGCGCTGACGCATTTTTTTATATTCCTCAACCATACATTCCATTGCTTCAGCACTAATCTGGTGATACAGAGTAGAAACGATAACGGATATAAGTTAAGTGAAAGATAGAAAAAATTGTGACTTTTAAGTATTGAAATGGTGAGCTAAATTTATTCATCTGCTTAACGATCCTAATGTGATAACAGACAACCTGTATATACAGTCTACCGGAATTATTCAGTTGTAGAAGTCCAATAATTAGACACATATTCACCATGCATTACATTAATTCCTTTTTGTTAAATGTGTCCCAATGTCAGTATATTACGTTATGCTCTACACAGTAAGAGTTAATATCAGACTCTTTAAAATGTCCAGGAAGTTGAATTCGTTGGTCTATTGTGAGTAATGACTGCATTGAAAATCCAATAAATACACTGCACACCCACAAAACAATATTAGCAATTCGCTCTCACTCACTCTTAACCAACATCTTTTCCACACTTTATAACTGACCTTCAGTTATAATTAACTGAAGTAGTTTTCACTGGCATTCTACCATGCATGATGATTCTACGATAACTTTTGGTTAGTACACAGGTCTACCATTCTGTTTCACTCTTATACTTGTCAAACTCTATTGATTCTCTTCACTCATCTTCTTGTCTACCTCTGTGTGCTATTTGGAACGTGGCAACTCGAACTGCTGCACTTCGGTGCCAAGTTCTATGTTGAATCCAGACAGACAGACAGAGACACAGGTCGTAAAGTGAAGAAAACTATGACAGTTGGATTTAAATGACCGCATCAGTCCATTTAAGTCTTCATCAAATATTTCTTATAATCCATTCACAGTCTTGTAATTATTAAATTTCAAAGAAAACATCATAGAGGAAACCTATTATGTAGATGGAAAAGTAACACTGAGTCGTAAGATTACTTTCAATCGTTTGAGTAAAATTAATTAACTACATTTAGTAATAAGATATTGAGCATATGGACACATAAAGACTATGAAGTCTGAGGAAGTCAATACAAACTTCCTTTAAGTTAGATACTGAACTGCAATGGACAATCTTAGAAGATTCTTGAAAGGCATGACAGATTTATTCAACAGATAATAACATATTATCAATCACAAGAAAGCGAAAATAATAATGGTTAAATTTTTTTCAAATGATATACACGATAGATAAATGAAAAACTTATGTTCCGTAGAGACAAGTCACTATGTGCGTATACACATTCTTCTTACCTTGGGTTTAAAGCAACGAGCAAAAGCAATATAGCGACGAATATTATCGAGAGAGTAGACGGTATGAGTATCATGATCACCATGTACTCCCATATGTAAATCCACAATTGAACGTGCGATAGCGTAGTCCACAATCTGAAAAGTGAAGATTCAATAACGCTTTGAATTAGGAAAGAAACTGAACAAGTTTATGATAGGCTTTATAAGTACCTGTAAAATGATCTTCTGTGATATATTTCAGGTAGCGTGACTTACTGGCTTATGCACTTAATCAGTTACTACAGCTTTCAAGACTTCATTCCATTTACTTTGGTTTATATCGTGTCAAATACTGTGAGGTGTCATATAGATCAGTACACGCAAAGCCTGTGTTAATTAAATCAGTTACGTATTTAGGTAGCTTTATTGAAAGACGAAATGTATTTGTGTAATACATTTCGAACAATTTGGCTGTGCATCCATTTGTTGATTTGATTTAATTGAAAATAAGACAGTGGAATGTCAGTTTAAATAAACGAAATAATTGATGTGAAGTGTAAAAAAGATAATAATTGACACCAGGTTCTGTAACATAATCAGATAAAGATTTTCTGGGAGATTAAGTGTAACGATGAATTGTTTTGCACATACAAGAGCGGTTTGATTTTATGAAAAATTACCTCCTTACTTTTGACATTGGAAACAAACTACTCTTTACTAAAAACAGTAATATTGTGAAACTGACAAAAAATATGATGGGTACAGAAATTCTGTGTATTCTATGAAAAAGACGCACGCAGCTATCAGGTTGATTACATTCAGCTAGATGGAGTAAGATTTTATTTTCTTACTTAGATGTTTGAAAGCTGACTACTTAAGTAATCAGTAGAAAACTTAAAACAGTAGTTTAACAGTCACATTCGTAAAACGGGAGAAAATGATGTTAGACATGCTGAATGATCCTGGAACCAATTGACCAAGGATAGTAGCTTATATAAAAGATAAATACCACTAGTAGTAAAGGTATACTACTGTGAAGAAATCGTCATTGAGGGATGTCAGTAGCCATGGTAACGCGCTAAATAACTATAAATGTGTATTACACTTTAGTTTCTTTTTTCAAACCTCAAAGAAGACCAAACAACAGACCTACAAAGTTTAAAAACTGAACTATGTTGCTAATCTTGCTTTTAGAATAGGATATCACAATATTTAAGAAAACGCTTAGAAGAGCAGAGAAACTTACATCATTGCATTCGTCGATTAATACGAAAAATAAATCAAATCGAGATATAATAGGAGCGGATAAACCAATGTTCTGCCGTAAAGATTTTGATCTGTCATATCGACCACCGATAGGATTAGCTGCTGCAAGGATAGAAGTGCGTGCATTCAATGTAGCTTTTACACCGGCTTTTGTAATGCTGATTGTCTGCTGTTCCATAGCTTCATGGATAGCAACTTGGTCTTTTAAATCCATTTTGTCGAACTCATCTATACAACAAACACCCTACAAACGAAAATATCATCAGTGATGTATGCAAAAAGTTAAATGTAACCGAAAATTTAACGAGTCCCACTCAGATGACTGATATCCTTTTAATTCATATCTAATCTAATAATTAACTCATGATGTCAAATAATTTGTGAGAGATAAATATTTTCAGTAAGTTTACATTACGATAGTCTGTTAATACGAAACCTTTGTATCCCTTTGATATTATTATATTACTTGCTGAGATCCACGAATTATCTGAAATATGTTAAGTCATAAAAAATCCCACCTATCTGTAACGTGAAGTGCTAGACCTATCGAATGCTGCTGCGTTATAATGAAGTTTAACGCAGTAAATAGGCAGATATTGAAGCTGGATGCAATGAGAACGAAGCATTTTGTCCTGATTATCAGCATTCTCACTTGTCTCCGATTTTAAGTGAGCGACAGAAGATAGAGATCGTATAACAAACACATCCTCAAAATTTTCTCTGTTGCGCACAACTGCCAGTTTACATTCACTGTTCACTGACATACTTGAGGTGAACTGTAATGCACTTCAAAAGAAATGAACATTTTTACGGTTTCTCACATTTCATTCAGCATCTTGCAGGTGTAAATAACTCAGTTGATTGGTAACTAATCGACTTAGTATTCAGTTACAATAACATAAACAAATGACAGTGTACATCATGTTTTAGTGAGAGAAAGGGTTCAAAGGGAACTGAGTATACGCACAAGTATTTAGTAAATTCTCCGGAATGAAAAGTGTACCTACAAGGAACAACACCAAAACTAGCTGACTTTGACCCGATCAATATGAATTCAAAGTCCAATTCGGTCGGAACTTAGACATCAGAATCGGTGCTATAAAAGCGATGTTACTGTCTATTGCCCATATAGTCTCAGGCATAATATTTGGTCCAGTCATCCAATATAGAAATTCTCAATAAGAAACTTACATTGTCTGCAAGCATCAGTGCCCCAGCTTCAATAACAAATTCAAAAGATTCTTCATCTCTGACAACAGCAGCTGTCAACCCTGCTGCAGAACTAGCCTTACCACTGGTATAAACGGCACGTGGAGAAAATCGCTCAACGTGTTTCAAAAACTGAGACTTTGCTGTACTCGGATCACCCACTAGACAGACGTTTAAATCACCGCGAAGATGAGTTTTTTCTTCAGTAACCTGTAAAACGTTTCACAAGAGAAAAAGTTTAATTAAATTAAATAAAAAGAATAAAAATAAACACTTGGAAAAGTTAACAATACACATTACGAAGTACATGGTTAATTACCAGTGAGGTAGAATTCACACAATTGGAGTGCAATAAGTTCAGCCAAACAAAAATTGTGGGACATCATAACAATACTAATTGAGACCGTAAAGACAGAAATCATACCTTTTGTGTGCAAGTACTGTTATATCACTAACTCAGAAACCTTTCTATCACCAACACCAAGAAAACGGAAGTCTGTGTGAACGATAAATGTAAAAAGAGGGAAAACCTGAAGTTGACCTTGTGAAAGAGTTTGGCTAGTTGAATAACAATGTATTCAACTATAGACACATATGACTACACCATCACCAGCATGCACGCGAACTCTTCCACTCTTTTAAAGGTCACCACCTTTCGGAGATGAATTTGTAAGAAGTTTCCGACAAACTTGTATAAGTACTTATTGAGTTAAATGTGTGAAGTCTAAATCATACAGACATTGTTAAAGTGGTCACTAATTCCAATTACCAAGTGTTGGTTTGCAGGGATTTGATTGGTATCAAGTTAGATCAAGAAATAACATCAGTAAAATAACCACTGGAAGTCAGGGATTACTGGACAGTTGCTCCATCCTCGGATGAGAACACACATCCCTACAGAGAATCAACTCCAGGACCTTCGAGTTACGAAACGCGATATGTGGCGAATTGGAGCATTCGATTCTGTTCTGGTAGTTGGATAATCAACGGGCTCGTCTCGTCACTTGCATGTCCGGGAACCTATCCCTAACAAAATCACAGGTACGCGCTTCTGAAGAGTCCCAAACTAGAACGAAATAGGTGTAATTACTCCCTGGTTTTCGGTAGTCATCTAATTGATGCCAATCAGTCCGTGATCAAACTTGAAATAATAAAACAATATAATTTGCGTGCACCAGTTATGTTAATAAGCACAGTGCTTTGTGGACTGTCACGAAAACTTGTTCGACTGAGACGTTTTATTTTCATTGCCCAAATAGTATGAGGTTACATCAGTCCTACGGTATTACACTACTTTCTTAATAAAGCCAGTAAACACATGTTTACGGCACTAACGGCACACTTCGTATATCACTTCCTTAGGGTAAGTTTAGCGAAACGATAGTGACATTTATATAACTAGGTACAATCTGCATAAAAAGTTTCTCATCATACTAACCTTTGGCACACCACCACAAAGCATCAACAAGATTCCCTTCTTCACTTCTTCAGCACCATGAATAGTAGGAAAAAGAGACTTGCACATGTTGGTGAGAAGTTTACGGTCTTGACTCATTTGACAAATTGTATCTAATTCAGAAGCAGTCAGTCTTTTTGAGAGAGCTTCATACGATATTGCGTCTGCCTCTTCCAAGTCATCGGATGGCAGGTACTGAAATTAAACATGTACGTGAGATTACATATTGAAAACTCTAGTGAATGATACCTACAAAATACCTGTGACTGAAGTAAGAAGGTTAATTCAATTTAATAACATATTGCCAGGATAAGTATTCAAAAAGTCTACTTTAGAGATCATCACATGAACATAACTCTAGATGGTTGGAGGCAATCGGCAGGAAGCCTTGGACCTAGGTTTCGTGCTAGTTGGCACTCATCAGCAAGGTGTATCTACAACCTTGAAGGAACTCATGTCCCTTCCCAGATTAGAACCCGCGTCACCCAGTGCTGCGGTCAGAGACGTTACCACTGAGCTATTCAGGCTCGCGACTGACCTCCCGTAGGACTGTATTGGATTTTTAACTTTTTTTAATCGAAACATGGATCAGTACTTCAGGAACTTCAATTTACTAAGTTGCATGGTTGCAATAATATGTAAGATGTACCACTTTTATTATGTGGGAGCTGTCCATATAGTCTAGGAGCACAGGATGATGCAGGTGGGGAAGGGATGCAAATCCATCACACATAATTACACGTAATTACCAGACTGAAATTGCCAGTCTTTTTCGTAAACTACTTGATCTCTCTCTCTCTCTCTCTCTCTCTCTCTATATATATATATATATATATATATATATATATATATATATATATATATATATATATATATATATATATATATATATATAAACTTAAGTGCTGTCCACATTATTTTAAGTTACATTTGTGAAATTGTTAGTTGCTGCCTACTAACAAAGTCTCATTAGGTTGACAGACGATTACGAATGCAGACTGACAGTACGTGGAACTTGAAAGTGTTATACAGTATACTACTTAGATTGACCGATTAGTTACTTACACTAATCACACACTATCCAGATGAAAGCAGCTTTAACCGCAACAATGACTAGTTTTAATTAGTTATAAAGGATCTTCAGTTTTTTGGTTAGGATTACTATAACTGCACACTTCAGTTTCAATGTGTTTGTTGCTTTCGTTGAAATTCATTCGGCATATGAATAAAGTTAGAGCCAGGTAATATATAGGTAATTGCTATACAAAAGACATCGGAATTATGTGCAAAACTTTTAATTTCTTATGGTGCAATTCATGTGAACAATGGACCAACTTGAATAAAACTGAGAAACACATTTACTTCCCCATAACAAGATCTTCAAGAGAACAGAATCTGAAATACCAATATGCTGACTAAACAAATGAGATAACACTCCACTATATCATTCCTATCTAAAAACAGGTTAATTTTTAGCTACATCATCAAAACGTACACTGCTTATTTCATAGTCACTGTCTGAACATTGGTTTTAGTATAATGAGACTCTAGAGAAAAAAGATTTCATCTGGTAATATCTGCTGGATTATTTTGATACTCCATTCTAACCACTATGTTATGCTATTTGTATGAAAGCACGTAGTAGGTAGAGATAGTGTAACCGGAAATAACCAACGTGAAAGGAAAATATGAACTTACCCTTCCATTAGAGGGAATAACGGTACATGCTAAAAATGCCGTCCTGTAGGATAATTCACGTACTCCTAAAGCTTTTAGACCAGTCACACCACTGATTTCCTGATTATCTCGTCCACGTAATGGCTTAGATTCTAAAGATCTGTCACCTATATTTAATCGAAAGAAACAAAATTCCTTGTTTAGAAAACGCCATAAAAACAAAATTTAAATCAGATGACTTGGTGAAAGGTAATGAAATTAAAACCATTAATATTTAGGGTGAAAAACTTAAGTATGGTATGTTATTAATTATTAATTTGTTTACTGTAAAAAAAGTATCTACCGTAAGCGTTAGCGTTTAGTAATTACCCTGATAAATTAATCAGGAGGCATATGAAAGCTTTAATAACAATAATAATAATAAGGACGACATGAATGACGAACAAAAAGATGATAATACCGAGAATAGGAAATGTAAAATAGCAGTGCTGTCATACAGACAAAAAAGTTCTTAAACCTTACGCGAAATTCCTAGAAATACACCAATGAGACTCGTACATTCTAACTCCCTTAGAATTATAATGCGTCGATTAAAGTGTCATGTGGAACATATTAAATAATATAATTTAGTTTATATAGTACAATGATTACAATGTCAAAGCAGCAGGTCGGGGTCGGACAGATCATATGGGCACAAAAACTTAGCGAAATCTGCAACAGTATACCCTTTTAAGGAGCCTGGAGAAAAACAAAACCTCAGCTATAGCACTGCATGCAGTTACACACAATCATACAATAGGATGGGACAAAGCGGGTCTTAATGAAATTTTATTTACTGAGTCAACTGAGAATGAGTGAAGTCTATCTGTCTTTATTCAACATAGAACTTTGCACCGATGTGCAGCAGTTCAAGAGTGTAGTAGAAATGATTAAGCATATTTCGTACATCTGAGGAATTGTACCGCCCTGACAACGAATTGGAAGGGAAAAAATTAATATAAAAATTCATTTTCAAGGTTTCCTAGTTTGAGCTGATAGGATTGTGAATAGTAAGTTGATTCGAAGCGTAATCTACTAAAAAAAACTGTCTTACCGTGTGAAATTTGCAGAACAAATAAATATGGAATTGCGGAATAATCATTGCAACAAACCTAATCATATAACCTACCAGGTGTGGCTAGTTGTCCGATATCTGGAATAACGATGAGGGTTCCAATGAATTCACATCGATCACCAGGTTGAGCTAAATCCACTGTATCTGCACGCAAAATAATCTCAAGACTAAAAATTTTCGAAAATCAAAAATATAAAAACAATGATTTGGTTTTATGAAGTTTTACGTTCCTAATGTTAAATGAATTCAAGCGGATGATTACAATTAGATATTGTATAGGAGTTTCGCACTAACTCCTTAGTGGTATTTTTAGGACGTCTCGGCAAACATCTAATTAACGCCTTTTCACACTGTGTTGGACAGAAACCATGATAATTTAGATACTGTTCAGCTTGACTTTCGGTCAAACTAACCGCTAGAGGTGAACCATAAGTATATCTGGAAATGGCAGTAATGAAGTAGAATATCACTCAGATATATCATTTCGAACAGATACACAAAGACAAATATCGCATCAATCCAGCAGGGACATGTGTGCACATGTAGCACGCGTAATAAAAAATCTTAATCTGACTAAAAATCAGTTTTCAACTGTAGTGTACGTTGTGAAGTGCACAGTCTAATGCAAGACAAGTAGTCAATTTATAAGCCTGTAAATCACAACTAAATTCGTTGTGGTATGATTTATACAACTACTTATGACATGCCTCGACGTGAAGTAGGGCTACGTTAATAAAAATAAGTCGTCGGACCTACATAAAAAGCCATACAAAGAATCAGATAACTCAAGTCTCCGAATGATTGTTTGGAAGCACATATGATGAGGAGTCATTTTTCTTGATAAAGGACTGGTCAAACTAAAATATGTCGATAACAGAACTTTGGCGAATATTTTAAGAGCCGTGCAATTTCGGACTAGTGTTAAGGTAACCACTCGACTATTACTAGGTTGAATATGGATACTTTAGTGAGAGCTGTACACCTTTCCTTGATTTCATTCACACGTGAATAACCGAGTTAATAACCAGGTAATACATAAGAAAGGAGCGCCGATAACAATTATTTCACAAGTTACGGTATATGAGTTTCACAATTATATACAGCTTACTCAAATCACAATACTGTATTTCCTTAGTTGTTTAACCCTTCATATTTTCATCTCTTACATCCTAATGACATTCAGGTAAGTTATTTCCCATTCAACCATTTCATGTGAATTTAGTCAGCCTATATACTTACTCAAAGGCGCTACTCCCCTAATCTAAATTGTCTGCGCAACACAAATAACCACAGTTAACTCAAGGTGAAGGCTTTAATATCAGATGATTAGAAACGGGCTCACACACGTTACTTCGTGCAAATAGCGGTATCATGTCCACCGTAGTTTTTGCCACGCTTAGGCACATATATTGTGGAAGTACTGACAAGTTCTGCATTGTGAACCCCCATTATCAGATCCATTGTCATAAAGTATCTGGGGTCAACAATGGTAAAATTCGATGGCTAATTATAAAAAGAAAATATTTGTATGCAGTCAAAATCCTAAGATCACTTACTTGCGTGGGATACTACCACGTGGCAGTTCAGACTGGGTTTCTTGAACACGAACCTTTTGAAAATCAACAAACTTCGATTCATTCGTTAGTAGTTCGAACTTCAGACGGTTCCCACATTGAGGATTAAAACATATAGTCGGCTAATTTAATTAGATTTGGACACAATAGAATACCTGTGTATACTTGAAAGGTTGTTCCACATTCCTTATTACAATTTTGCATTCGGAGCAACGAAAAGTGCCCATCAGAAGCTCAGGATGAACAGGGTGTGTTCTAACTACCTGAGCACGTACTTTAATCAATCTTCCAAGCTGACCTGCCGTAAGGTCTCGCATTCTGGAAAGTAAACACTTGACACTTTTGCATACCTGTGGAGGCTAGGAACATCGGTAAAGCTAACATAGAAGTCCCTTCCTGAATTTTGTGTATCTGGAACATGGTCATTAACAAAGTTTTTGGTGGCTGCACATAGGGCTGGATACAGTCTACAAGAATGAGTGAAAATCAGGATTTACCGATAAAAATCATCCTGTATCAAACCGGATAGCTTTGTGTCAGAAACTATGATATCAGTAAAGTTAACAGACAATGTATTCTTTTCAAGTTTCTTTAAGGCGTTTGCTGCCTCAACATATTTTAAGACATCGTTTTCCTTGAAGCTAAAAAATACGTAGGAAAACAATCAAATTACGTTTCAAGAAAGTGGTGAAAAAGCCTCTGACACTCTTCTGCGATGACATCAACAACCCTAATAGTTCGGACTTGTGTTTGAGCAACATCCATTTCTGAAATCCGAGAACGCGGGAAAAGCAAGTTGAGTTGTAAGTGGCTTAGCTAAACGAAAATCCGTGCAAAATAAAATCTACAAATATCTGCAAAACAGAGAAATAAAATTAATTGAGGATTGCTGATCAGTGTTGGCTTCAAGCATTAAATATTCCGCCGAACTACAACGCATGAAATTAATAGCGACTGTGACATAGGGAAAAGCAATGGAAAAACCGACAGTTGGGGATATATGATATTTACCACCTACGTTATCTAAACCAATTTCAGCTATCCAACTAGTTTGCCTCAGTCGGGAAAACTCTGATGATTCTCATGTGCTCACCGTTTGCAGCTACATAAATGGATTACTTCTTACTAACTTCCATTCTAGCTTTACGGCCAAGTTGCACCTAATAAAGTTCAAAAGAGAACACTAAACTTGCTTTTTAGTGATGTATCAGGTTTGATGGCTTGGTGATATCACAGAGGAACGAACAGTCTCAGGACACTTATATTATACTTCTTTTCTTCAGTTCCAGGAGGAATATGGTGCTTCAGCCGCGCGTCTCCATTACGTTTGGTTCAACGCCAACATTTTCACCTGGCTCAGCGTCTACCAACACGCCTTCGTCTCCTCTTCGCACCACCTCCTCCATATCACCCTCACACTGACGAACGCTCGCCGCTTCCCACTCGGGTTTCCCTTGAAAGATGACCTGGCGTGTGATGTCACTTGATGGTTTTTTCAGAGTATGGACAATCCACCTACATTTCTACCTGCATAATTGTTGCAGAGTTGGTTCGTGATGGGTTGGTTAACTCATTGCCAGAGTTCCCTGCCGTCGATCCTTTCTGACTGGCCATCCGCCCCTGAGTAGTATTCAGCGAAGAAAGCTGTTGTTGAAGGTCTGTAGTTTGTCCGAAGTGCTCTACTTGACACGACGCCAAGTCTCTGATCTGTATGGATAGTAGCAATTACTTTACAATGAAGTTGGAAATCCACTTTTTATTCTGCATGCTGAATGCTGTTGATCTCCACACAGACCTGAGAGTAATAAAAAGCTTGCCCTGCTTTCCCAATCCTTCCTTTGAAAACGTCATCAGTTCCATTCACCTGTAGTTGAAACGATGCTTTACAGGTACGTGGGTAGGTAGGTAGGTAGGTTAAGGAGGTTGCTTCTTTCAGATTTCCGCCATTGATGCTTATTATTATCTACCGTTTTTGCTATTGCTGTTGGCCAGGAATCTTCATCACCTCTGCCTTCCCTATGTTCACCTGAAGTCCTGTCTTCTCTGGATGCTTCTTCCTCCGACTTGCTACTTTTCACTTGCATATCTTCCAGATTATGGGAAATCAGACATATATGAATGATAGAGCCCAGACCCTCGAGGTATTTGTGTGGGTCCTCTTTATACCTGTCTCCTCGTTCCCCTATGCCTGCCGCATTATCCAGTCTATGGCAATCAGGAAAATCATTGGCGGTAGTAGGAAGCCAACCAGACTAGTCTTACTCCCATCTCCATTTCGAAAGATTCAATGTGTTTCCTGTTGTGGATTACTTGGCATGCAGCATTGTCGTGAAGCTGTTGGATGAGATGTATAAATTTTGGCGGCACCCCATAGTAGCAAAGTAGTTGCCAAATCACCTCTCGATCGACGTTGTCGAAGGCCTTTTCAAAGTCAATGCAGTTGAGATAGAGAGCCAACTGGCATTCCAAGCTCTGTTCAATGATGATCCGTAGTGTTGTAATTCGAACGATGCATGATTTCTTCCCCGTGAATCCAGCCTGTTCCAGTAGAAAGTTTTTCATCCAGGGCATGTTTGGCTGTCTCCATGATGATGTGGCTCAGTATATTGTCTGGGATAGATAGGAACATGTTGCCGCGCCAATTCTTATATTGCATTGACTTGAGTCTCCTTTCTTCGCCAGTTTGAATAGGTAGCCTTTCTTCCAGTCAGCGGGTACCTTGCCCTCTTTCCACACCTTCTCCATTATTGGTGTCATCAAGTCCACCGATGTCTCTGGGTCTATTTCCAATACTTCTTCGAGGATTCCATGTGGTTCTGCTGCTTTTCCAGCTTCCAGCATCTTGACTGCCCTCAGGATTTGTTTTCGTTGGGGGATTGATGTCCACTGGTAGTTCTGCTTCCGTTGTTGGTATTATTGGGTGCATCGTAGATGGCGATAGATTAAGAAGTCTTTTGAAGTGTTCAGTCCAGTGTCTCCTTTACTCCCCCTCTTCGGTGATTGGCTTTCCATCGTCATCCTTCACTGGCCTAGTTTGTGTTGAACTTTTTCCTGACAGGGACATAGCTGCATGGTAGAGTGTTTCGAGGTACCCTTTGCCTGCAGCTTATTCTGCTTCACTTGCCATGGCTTCATAATATTTTCTTTTGTCTTCCCTGGCACTTTTCTTCACTCTTTTGTTCAGTGCATTGTAGCTTACATTCAACTTCCGTTTGCGTTCCTCGTCGATGCACTGGAGAATTTTTCGTTTCACCATCCTTCTTTCTTCTATTAGTTTCCAAGTTTTCACAGTGATCCACTGCTTGTCCAGTCTTTTTTTCTGCCTAGAACTTCCATGCAGTTCTGACTCCACACCACTTTCAGGTTGTTCCAATACTTTTCAACGCTTGTCTCTCCGCTAGTGTTGATTTGTCTCTCCGCCTTTTTCCTTGTGATTTCAGTGGTGATATCTTTTGTATCTTGATCCATCATTGTGTTTGAGTATTGAACTTTGATTGTGGTCTATCTGCAGCTCCTGTTTCTTTGCAAGTTTAATTTGGAGTGTCCCTTGCACGAAATAGCGGTCTGAGGCAACGTCTGCTCCTCTTCTTACTTCTGTTTCCAGTAGGCTGAGCTTCATCTTCCTTGGGAAGCACTGAGATGAAGTCAATTTGATTTTTGTTTTGCCTGTCTGCTGATATTTCATTTAGCTCTATAGTGGTCATTATCAGATCACTGACTCTCATAAACCTGTCAGCCAACTCTCAGAAACTGTCAGTGTCCAGCTCTTACTACGCTGGACACGCTGTCCCTCGAAGACTTTCAGAAACACTTTGTATTTAGCAACGCGAAAACCAGAACACAGATTGGCGACTCGCGAATACTTTATTCTTACGCCAACATGTAACCAACAATAAGGTTATTACACACAAGGTCTAAGAATAAATGTTATAACGGTAAATCACGATAATACTTCTGATAGTTTTTTATCTTTTACTGAACAGCGAAAGATGAGACGATGACTGATTGGTAGATGACTCCCGCAAAAAATATGGAGGAGTTGGGTTTGAGCCCTCTCTCTGGTCTCAAATGTAGTTACATGAATGTGATTTATCAGAAGTTCACGAATCTTGGCATATGACAGAGAAATAGGCTTATCTGGAAACGATAGAGTCTTTACTAGGCTATACGCATCTAGCCCAATAGCAGTGATGAAATGTGCTGGTATTTTGTCATCCCGAACATTCTTTGAAATGCACCACGCATCGAAGCATTCCAAATAATCAGCAATCTCCCGCGGAGACCCATTAATAGGAAGTTTTCCCAGGTTATTTAGTTCCATCGCGACGCCAATTTGTAGTAATTTATTGTACTCGTAGTATTAGTATTTCGAGATGACCGAATTACAAGAATCCAACCAAAACACATGGAGTGCAGAATTCAGGAATTTGTATTTAGCGGAATTATATTGCAATTCATATAAGAAACATATTAGCAATCAACAGTAAGTACTTAAACAATACAGAGATAGAAATTGTCAATCACCACATTACTGTAACCTCCTCTGAAGTCTCTAGTGCGTCAGCAACTCGCTAAACCTCATCTGTTGCTCGAGGAATGAGTCCAGTACAGATGAATTCAATATTCCTATCGCCGATTTCATATTTCTCCAACGTTGGGTTGAATTGGTAGGGACGTCCGAGGTATTGACAAGTACGGTGATCTTGAGTATCATTTGTCAATCTTTTTATGAGATTTCTGATTAGTCCGTTTTCCAAACAAGTTATCAGTGTACATATGACGACACATAACGATTATCGAGTTGTTCACGCACTCAAAATATTTCTGGTATTGAATCATCCCATGCTACTCCGGTTGTAATAGTCCTTTCAGTAGATGAAAGTGTTAATAGCATTAGGGAATTCCCCTTTGATCCTTATACCAGTATTATATATCATACTTCTTTCAAGAGATATGAAAACAATTTTAAAGTAGATTTCTCCGGCCAAGGTGATTTCTGGAAAGTGTGTCTTCTGCTTCGAAAATCTGGTCCACTGAAATTCGATCATTATTGCAATAAAGTTTTAGTTCAAAACCCACATGATCCCACATTTGACGCCACTCTGCAGACACTAGGACTGCATTTTGGTGATGACTTGTCTCTCTGCAGTCCTCGGTATTTCTGAATTAAACTAACCATAAATGAGAATGATGATTTACTCGTGCATGCTGATATTATCAACCGAGAATATGAACGATTTAAATTAAAATCTTTGACGGAAGATTACTTTGAATCACTAACACTTAATTGCTGTTTACTGTCCCTGATTTCACCGATATACTAATAAGGCTTTAGTGTTTATTAGAGCTACAGCCAGATACTAGCTTGCTAGGCTACTACCTTACTAGTTTTCTAGCCGGTCCCAAGCCCGGGTAAAGAGGGAGGGTTAAGGCGTGGTGCTAGCAACTCCCCCTCCCCTATAAAACAACCAAATCGCTACAGAAACTTCAACGAATAAATATATTAAAAATTCTAAAAACATAAGCAATAGCCTTACTTTTCGCTGGAATCGGGGAAGTGAAATGACGCAGGCTGGTGAAAGAGCCTTCGGGAAGCCAGTCAGCCGATGTGCCTTCTTTCGATGAAAGCAAAAGTAAGGATGGGTACCTGGAATGTTCGTACAATGTACGAAACTGGAAAGGCTGCCCAGATAGCCGCTGAAATGAGAAGGTACAGAATAGAAGTGTTGGGAATCTGCGAAAGCAGATGGAACGGAACTGGAAGGTGCCAACTACCTACTGGAGAGACAGTAATCTATTCCGGCCACCCAGAGGACAACCATGAGCACACCGAGGGAGTGGCCATCATGATGTCACCAACAGCAACCAAAGCTCTCATGCAGTGGGAACCAATCTCCTCCAGGATAATGACAGCCAGGTTCAACTCAAAA